TGTTTCTCTAAATTGCCTTGGCTGCCGTGGAACTCACCAGAGATCTACCTGCCTCCCAAGTACTGGGATTAAAAGGGTGACTATCATGGCAGCCAGCTATTGCTGGGCCTTGATCCTAGGGCCTCATGCTTGTCAGGTAACCACCACTCTGCTACAGCCTCAGCAAACAAAACAATCTCTAAAAGACAGAAACCTAAGGGTACATTAGAACACCAATACTACAGTTCATTTTCAGCGGCTTCATCAGCCCTACGACATTAATTTTTGACCGCCTGGTCTGCTGCTGCCTTCACAAACATGTTTTCATCACCGAGCAGGAAGCGTTCATACCCTCTGGTCCCAATTCATAATTAGGTGGAAGAGCAGACACTTGCAACTAGGACCAAAATCTAAGTCAACAGCAAGACACCAGAGAGAGTGGCTGGACTTGACAAAAAATACAGGGTGGCCAGTTAGAGAATTTCAGGGGTATGGGGTTGAAGAGTAAAAAAGTAAAGATGAGTAAAGATGCTAGCTGCTGAGCCCAACACCTGAGTTCAAGTCCCAGGACCCACAGGGTGAAAGGAGAACTGACTTCTGTGGGTCAGTCTCTGACCTCCATCTGCACCCCTACTCACTTCTTATAGGGGATGGTGGCACATAACTTTGGGGAGGGACAGAAGGATGTCTGGGAGTTCAAAACTACCCAGATCTACATAGTGACTTCCCAGCCAGCCTGGGCAACACAGCGAGACTTCATCTCAACATACACTCTCATACATGCACGCACGCACTCGTACACACACACACACACACACACACACACACACACACACACACACACACACGAACTTGCAAACACACACCCCCAAAACGTAGCCAATCAACTAAACAAACAAAAAACACAAACCACCCACACACAATAAATAAAAACTTCAGGGGGTGTAGCTCATAGTAAAGCATTGTTGTTTTTTTTTTTTTTTTTTTTTTTTTTTTTTTTTTTTGGTTAGCTACAATAGTGCCTCAGCTAAACCTCATTGGTTATGATACTGCTATTTTGCAAAGTTTGTGTTTTTTTTTAAATCTTTGTTTTATTTATTTATTTTGGTTGGGTTTTTGTTTTGTTTTGTTTTTTGTTTTTTGTTTTTTCTTTTTTTGAGACAGAGTCTTCCCACATAGCCCTGGCTGTTCTGGAACTCACTCTGTAGATCAGGCTGACTTCAAACTCACAGGGATCTGTCTGCCTCTGTTAACCAAGTGCTCAGACTAAAGGCGTGGCTACCATGCCCTGCTTGATTGTTTGTGCTTCTCAAAAAAATGTATTACATTTTATTTGTTTTTTGTATGCATCTGTGGAGGTCAGAGGATAACCTACTGGAGTCAGTTTTCTTCTTCCACTATTTGAGCCCTAGGATGAAACTCAGGTCATCCTGAGTTTCTCACTCAGCCACCATTTTATTTTATGTGTATGGGTATTTTGCCTGCGTGTGTCTGCACATCACATGCAGTGCCCACACAGGCCAGAAAAGGGCGTCAGATCTTCTGGAGTTACAGACAGTTGTTAGCTACCACATGGGTGCTGAGGACTCGAACCTGGGTCCTCTGGAAGAGCAATAGCCTTGTTTCCAGCCTCTGTTTTTGTTGTTTTGAGACAGAATCTTGTCTTGCTATGGCTGGCCTGGTACTTGTTATGTAACTTAGCCCGGTTTCAAATCTGTGATCCTCCTGCCTCAACTTTACCTGTGCTGGGATTAAAAGTGGTACTACCACACTAATCGAAGACCTGGGATTGATCCCTGGTACACAAATAAACACATAATACACACTGTTCAGAGAAACAATGAGGAAAGGGTTTTACTATAAATATATCCTAAGCATTGCAAATACTGTGTCTCTGAAGCTCACATTTGACTGTCTTGTATTTTGTGTGGAACCCTACTCAGAGCTTACCCTCAGGACAAAGGGCTCTGGGTGTGCCCTCTCTGTCCCCAATTATCTTCACTGATCCTGTCCAGACTAGTGCGATTCATTAATTGGATCGGTACCTCCTCCAATCCTGATGCCTTCAGCTGCCTCTCCTCTCTTCTCAGCTTCCAGGTTTTCAGCAAGGAGACCACCTTCTGCTTTATCTTCTCTTCCTGGCAATGCTCTACAAACACATTGCTTCCCTGGCCCCTCCACAACTCACGGCTGCTACCAGCTGGCTCCACAGCCTCTGGGCAGCCCGTGCCTAGGCTTCCATTTCCCTCCCACCCATTCCTTCTTAGTTCCCCTGTACCCCACAGTCCTAGCCCCACTCCCTCTGATTCCTGGGTAACCTGAGCCATCTGGGCTGTTAGCCCCTGTTCATCCTTTGACTGGACCCTCCTCTGGAATTTGCTGGAAGCCCAGTGTCTCAGGGGTGTAGTAAAGAGGCTTCACTATGCTCCTGCCTTAGTTAGATTCCTTTGGAGGCTGTGTGGCCCATGGGATAGAGTTGAAACCAGATAAAGGCTTTCATGGTAACCCAGCCCAAGTCTTTACCCTGTGCAAGCCACTGTCCATTTACAGATTAGATTTTCACAACCTTTCGGGGCTTCAAGCAGCTTCAAGAGGGGTTCTCTTTCTCTCTAGCAGAATCTTGGAGGACCCGTCTTCCATGCCACCCTTTCTGGAAGACTCTTGCCTCTCTAGACCGGATATTCCTTCTGTCTATTACCATGGATTCTAAGTATCCTTTGCTTGCCCATGAGACAGATGGGGCTGTCTCCACCGTGCTTCCCACATCCTGCTAAGTAAATGCGCCCCTTGACCTGACTCTAACATAGTCTAGCTTTCTCTCTTCCTCGTCTAACTGCCAAGATCTGGCTTCATGCAAAACTGTATTTGTGATGAATGAGAGAAGAATCTATTTTGTTTTTAAAAAGTTTTATTTAACTCAGTTTCTTTGTTGCCCAGGTATCGTCGAACTCAGTACCTCTGACCCAAGCCTTCCCAGTTCAGGGATTATAACTGTGCACCACCACACCCAGGTCCATAGCTTCCCACCTTTGTTCCCCACTCCAAGAGAAGGTTTCTCTGTGTAACCCTGGCTGTCCTGGTACTCGCTCTGTAGATCAGGCTGGCCTCAAACTCATGGGATTAAAGGCTTGTGCCACCACATCCAGACCATAGCTCTCTCTTGAACTTACCTCATCTCTAACCACACAGCACACATAGGGAAGGGGTAAAGGCAGGATCCCTCCTTCCCAGGGTGTAGCTCTGCTTTCCTGGAAGAAATGCAGCAGTCTGAGCTCACGGGCTATCTGCTAGGGAGTGAGGCAGAACCTTTGGCCCCTGAGACTACAATCCTGAGCTTCTGGGAGAGTTGTGTGGATGTGGTGAGGATGTGGGCCTGCTATGCAGGTTCCAGACAAGGCCTGGTCTTTGCCACCCTCTAGAGGACAGTATTTTTTGCTCACTTTTCACACACTCCTTGCACACCCAATTCTTTTTTTTTTTCCTTTCTTTTTATTTGTTTATTTTTGTCTGTAGTTTTGGAGTCTGTCCTGGAACTCTCTCTGTAGACTAAGCAGGCCTTGAATTCACAGGAATCCCCCTGCATCTGCCTCCTGAGTGCTGGGACTAAAGGTATGTAGCCCAGGATGTCTATGTCTAGTCTCAAACTTGTTATGTAGTTTAGGATGACCTTGAACTCCTGGTTCTAAGCATGCGGCTCTTCATTTAGTCTTTGAGACAGACACAGTCTCATTGTATATAGCACCATCTGGCCCAGAACTCACTGTGTAGACCAGGCTGACGTCATTTCCCCTGCTTTCCAAGTGCAGGGACTACTGTGTAGCTCTGGATGGCCTGGAGTTTACTATGTAGTTCAGGCCAGGCTCGAACTTGTGTCCCTTCTGGCTCTGCCTCATGGGTGTTGGCTACAGACGTGTGCCACCATGTCCAACAATCTCTAGAGGACAGTTTAACTCCCATGCAAGACTTTTTGTTGTTATTTTGTTTTTGTGTTTTGAGACAGGGTTTCTCTGTGTAGCCCTAGTTGTTATGGAACTCACTATGTAAACCAGGCTGGTCTGGAACTCACAGGGATCTGTCTGCTTCTGCCTCGCTAGTGCTGGGATCAAAGGTGTGTGCCACAACCCTCCTGGCCCTGTACAAGACTGTTGGGCAACCACATTTTATAACTTCTCCCATCAAGAGGCTTTGGGTCTCCCTAGGATTCCTGCCCATTGCCTACTTCTTCAATAGCAGGCACCCACCCTCATGCTTCAGCATTGCAGCCCCTGCTGATGCTTCCATGTCTGCCCTGTTCTTCTAGGCCCATCCAGGCACCTGACTCCAGAGGGCCTCTTTGTAGGTGATCCTCAGCATCCCTCCTGACCCCACCCTCATCACTGAGGTCCCAGCCCCATGCTGGTTTCTCTCACGGAGTCCTGGGCTTGTCTTGTTTTTTTTTGTTGTTGTTTGTTTGTTTTTTTGTTTTTTGTTTGTTTGTTGTTTTTTTTTTTTTCGAGACAGGGTTTCTCTGTGTAGCTTTGGAGCCTATCCTGGCACTCACTCTGGAGACCAGGCTGGCCTCGAACTCACAGAGATCTGCCTGGCTCTGTCTCCCCAGAGCTGGGATTAAAGGCGTGTGCCACCAACACCTGGCTTTTTTTGTTTGTTTGTTTGTTTGGGGGCTTGTCTTTCCTAAGACAGATGGTGTCTAGAAGACAGGGCCTACGATGGGACCCCCTCCCAGATGGGGACCCCTGAGGACAAGGCCTGATTTCTCTCACTGTCCTTCAGGTTGGGGGCCCTTTCAGGACTGACCAGGGATTATTTTCCCCGCCCTTCCTTCTCTCTGCTGATGTCTGGAAACTACTATTTGAGGTCCCCATCTGCTTTCTCTACAGCCTGGGTCTCATAAGCCTCTGCGTACATCTGCAAGCTGCCCCTTGGCTTATAGGACTGGCCCTTCTGGGACTATGGCCCAGAAGGCACACCTGGAACTCCACTTATGACCTCACAAAGGTTGCCTCAGAACTCAGTCTCCATGGTGCTATTGGCAAGCTCAGGGATGTTATTTTGGGCAGTGTGCATGGACTTGGCTTAAGTGGCAGGAGCCAAACTCCTGCCCTACTGACCTCTCCCCTGGAGGAACACAACAGGGGTAAGAGGCAGGCTCAAACTGAGGACTTGAAGACAGCAGAGCTCCAGTGGCAGCAGTGATGGTGGAGCAGAATCAAAACCACTTTCAACATTAACAGATGGGTCCAGACAGAGGCTGACAAACAGCTCTTCAGCAGAGGTTGGCTGGGGCAGGCTGGCCTCCTTGGGACAAGCTCAACAGGGACCATGTAGGGATGACTACCGGATTGTTTGGGAGAGAAGGTTCATCAGGAGTTTAAGTATGACTCAGCCCCACGTGTCTGTGTGACATGGACAGCTGTAACTCGGCTGGGGCAGAGCTGCTGAGTGGAGCAGGGATTGGGAGCATGTGTTGCGCTGTGCTTGGTGGAATGGGGAGGGAACAACTGAAGATCCAACCAGAGAGACTGGGCAGAAGGGCACAGGTCAGAGATGGCTCTGCCGCTGGCTTCTTTCCTAGAGTCCTCCTCAGAGGCTGGACCAGGAAGCAGGGGTTCTGCCATTAGGATTAAGGATATAAATTGACAATTCAGTCAGAGGAAATTGGGTAGGGTCTGGCCGAGGCCAACTTGAGTTACCTTGACAGTATGATAGAAGGGTATGACGCAGGGAAAGTTTTAGGAAGCGTGGGAGGACAGACTTTGGGTAGATGGCAGACTTGGGAGGGCCAGGAGGACCTCTGAAGAGCCAAATCTTGAGGTTCAGGGTCCTGAGACAGCATGGGTAGAGGTGGGTGGGACCATAGGACCCCTAGCAATTGCTTGAGGCACAACTTCCTCTTTTCCTCCCTACCACCCCTCTCTCAGCTTGCCTGGGTTTGGGGGATAGTACTGGAAAGAGCTTCCTGGTGGCTTCTGCCCTGGGAAACTGAGGTCTGGTGAGAATATGGAGCCAAATTCTGTGTCCCTCAGCCCTAGGTTCCTCTCCTGAGTCCATAGCACCTAAAAATCAGAAAGACAAACAATGGCTGAAACATCCCGGCGGTAAGCATCCCTGATACCCCCAACTCTAGTCCCTTCCTTGCCTTCCTGTCCTGTCCCCAGCATTTCCCTCAGGGCAGCAATTCTTCTGGGCCCCCTCTTTCCCACCCAGTAGTCCATGGGGTCCAGCCCACCTTTCTCTGATGTCCCATGGCACAGCCAAGATCAGGCTGGGCCCTGGGCTTAGGGGAAGCTCTGAAGAACAAGACAAGGATCCAGGATTGGTGTACAGGTTCTGACTGTCCCTGGGTAATTGGTACTTTGATGAACCATCCCTTTTTTTTTTTTTTTTTTTTTTTGCTTCTTGGGGTGAAATAAATGCCAAGTCTTTGTACTGGCCATGGCTAGGTTCCCTTTGCCTCCTTGTCCCCTGCTGCAAGTCTCAATCTCCTCGCTCTCCAAGCTGCACGGACTTCCCTTGCTTTCTGTACACATGCTCAGACTTCTTCAGCAACTGTTCCTTCTTCCTGAGGCTCTGTCCCCACACTTATTCACACAGTCACTTCTTCACCTCCTCCATCCATTTCCAGTGAGGCTTTTCGACAAGGCAACAAGGCTTCTGGTGACCCCGCCCCCCAACTTTAGGTCACACTCCTTATGAAGACACTGCATTCCCAGTTTCTCTTCTTCTGGTTTCCAGGTCTCTGTAGAACTTATTATCCTCTCAGGAAGCACACTTGCTTATTCAGGTCATTGCTACCTGCCATGGGGGGGGGGCAGGGGGGGATACAGATGTTTGTGCCATGCCCTCTCTTGGACTTAAAGACCAAGTGGCTCCTGCATTGATGTCATTGCTCTCTTAGCCATGTCCTCTTTTCTTGGCTTAAACCTACTTTATAAGACCTGCTGGGGTCTCACCAGCAGCTCAGAATCCAGGTGAAAATAATTTCTCCATGCCCAACCCCCACCTCATCATCTTCCTGTTTCCTCAGCTTAGCAGGGTGCCCTTCTCCTCGGTTGAGTCAGAAGTCAAGACCATATCCTTACCCTTTTCCTCTCCACCATGGCTCACATCTCCTCACTGATATCCTAAAATACTTAGATCTCACGTCTCTCACCACCGAGTCTACCACTACCCTATTTCCCCAAGGCCCACCTAGCCACATTGCCCTATTTCTCTTCATCCTCCAGATCCAGTACCTCCCCACATGACAGCTCTGTGTCCCCCTAACAGACACTGGTGCCTGAAACTCACTTTTCTTCATCTAACTGACCACCCTTAAGAGCTTTTATTGAACAAGCACTTATCGAGTGTGAGGCACTTTAGGAAGCTTTGATGTCAATCTGGTTAAGACCGAGAAGTAGATTGCCTGTTTCTCATCCATTCAGCCAATATTTCCTGCCCATCTGTGGGCCTGGCACTGAGGGTACATGGGGCAGTAAGACTGCCCCTCCTTTCTTCCTCTTTATTGTTTGTTCGTTCACTCATAGGTATCTCCATGCTGGCCTGGTTGCAGAGCCTGGTGCATTTGCTGAACCCCTCTCCCAAGCCCTCTCCCATCTTCTAAAGAAGCTGGTATTTGTTTTCAGGCTTCAGTGCTGTTCACAGAGCCTGAAACCAGACTTTGCCATGCCTCATGTGCTCTACAGAGTGCCCCACTGCTCCTAAACCCTGGCCTGTGGCCCCAAGCTCTGACTCCCACAAAGAGGCAGACGCAATTGAGCTCCGTTTCCAGTCTGCCCCTGCCCAGTCAGTGCAGACTGCACGTCTAGCTCCTGGCCCACCCCCTTTGACAAGTGGCCCCAGTGGCACACTCCTCCTACCTGTTCAGTCTGGGGCTGAAGGAAGAAGACTAGCTGGGCCATCTTTCCTTTCCATATCCCTATGGCTCTCAGGTGTCTCTCATCCCAGCTTTTTCTACTGCCCTAGCCAGGAGAAGGTACATGGGGAGAGGCTACCGGGTTACCCATTAACTCAGCCGTGAGTGGAAGGGCCGATGGGCAGGAGGCAGACTTGAATCTTGTGTATGTTAGCTCGGTCTGCTGCTTCAGGTCTATCCAGAACCCCATGATGTCCCCTAGGCCTGTGCTCAGGACCATACAATCAATACTGCAGAAGGAGATGGTGAGAGAGTTCCTGGGTGAGACCATGAGCACCTTTGTCATGATGGTGAGTGTGTGGGTGGCCTTGGGTGGATGGGAGGGCAGCAAAGGCAGTTCTTTAACCTCTTCCCACTGTTGACCTTAGGGGTCATACCATTCCTTCCTCTGCCTCTGAGTTGGGAGCTTGGGAAAGAAGCAGAGCGGTTTTTCTCATCAAGTCTTTTTGGGACAGAAAAGTGCTTATGATAGGCCAGGATAGAGTGGAATCAGGGGCTGGTGAATGAGGGGGGAAGGGAAAACCTATAGCGAAGAGGTTGAGAGACAAGGCATGGTGGTGTGTGTGCAGTGTCAGTATTTGGGAGATGGAGGCAGAAGGACTGAAGCAAATTTGAGGCTAGCGTAGTGTACATAGCAAGTTCTAAGCCAGTCAGGGTTACACTGCAAGGAACTGTCTCAAAACTACACAAAAGCTGGGTAGTGGCGGCGCACGCCTTTAATCCCAGCACTTGGGAGGCAGAGGCAGGTGGATCTCTGTTAGTTCGAGGCCAGCCTGGTCTACAAAGCTACACAGAGAAACCCTATCTTGAAAAACAAACAAGCAAACAAACACAAAGAACAAAAAAACAAGACCAAAACAAAATACATCGAATTAGCAAGTCAAACAAAAAAGAGAAAATGATAAAAGATCTGGGTACATCTGTAATATGAGATTGAGGTAGGGTGATTGGGAGTTTGAATCCTTTATCTTGTTGCTACATATCAAGTTCAAGACCATTTCTTGGGCTACATGATGAAAGGTGGGGAGACCTTTGAGAATTTGTCTGAGGGAAATGGGGAGGTTATCAAACAGGGAAATGAAAGGAAGCTGAGATGGCTCAGCAGGTAAAGATGCTTGGTGAGCACGTCTGATTGATGACTCGAGCATGAACTCCACAAGGTTGTCCTCTGACCTCCACACAGGCACTGGGGCATGTATACCCCACTGCCATCTCACACATAAACACCCACACTTTTAAAAACTAGTAGATTGCTAGGATAGTGTTTGGATTTCAGAAGGTAATTGTGGAAAGGAGCTGATCATCAGGCTGTTATCATCCTGGCGGTTGGAGGCTGGGGGGTGATGGAGCCAGGGATGGAGAAGGTAGATGGAGAGTAAGTTCTTAGGGACCACTGTGGGGCACAGTCCCAGCACAGGCCCAGCAGAGAAGTTAATTTGGACAGAGATGAGATGTTGTGGAGAGATTCTGGAGGTAGTTAAATAGGGGGCGCTGGTGCTCAAGGGAGGCTTCAATGGAAGAGGTAAAGTTCACTATGGAGGGTAGTTATAAAAACTCTTCAGAATTAATGACATGGGAGGGACTCTGGGCACCTAGGCTCTTATCCTAATACTGGCTGTCAACAGCTGGCTGGTTTCTCCTTGGCTCCAAGCCTGACCTCCCAGTTTCCTAGTGTGGAATTCCAGCTCCTGGGTTTGGGAGTTGGGTCTGAGTTCTGGTTTAGCCATATAATGTTCCAGGTGCATTTTAAAAGTTCATGGGGTTAGATTCTTTGTCGAAAACTGTGAACACTGGCATGGAGCTGGTACACTCACATGAAGGCGGCTGAGGGCCAGAACCCAATATGTATTGTATATATATATATATGGTTGCTCCTTGTTATTTATTTATTTATTATTATTATTATTTTGCTTTTTAAGAGTTTATTTTTAGCTTTACAGAGACGTGTGTGGGTATTGCATGCCAGTGTAGGTGTCTGTGGAGACCAGAAGAGAGGGTTGGCTCTCCTGTGAGCTGCCTAATGTGGTGCTGGGAATTGAACCTGGGTCCTCTGGAAGAGCAGCCAGTGTTCTTAACCTCTGAGCCATCTCTCCAGCCTGGGTTGTTTATTTTTTTATTTTTTTTTTTGAGACAGGTCTTCTCTGTGTAATAACCCTGGCTGTCCTGGAGCTCACTCTGTAGTCCAGGCTGGCCTGGAGATACACCTGCCTCTGTCTCCCAAATGCTGGGATTAAAGGCGTGTGCCACCACCGCCCAGCCAGCCTGGGTTTTTTAAAAATTAAAAAAAGTTTTTACAAAATTGTGTGTGCATGTGTGTGTGTGTGTGTGTGTGTGTGTGTGTGTGTGTCTGTGTGCACACCACTAGGTTCCTTACTATTTTGACAGGCACTCTTGATACTCTCCTCTCCACATCCCTCACCTCCATCTTTACCTTCTCTGGCTCCTGAGTTGTGGGGAGGATAGCCTGATCTTGTCCCTCCTTAACCCAGGACAAAGTAATTCATTTATGACAAGACATTCCAGCTCTATGAAGGCTGTTAAACCTTGGAATGTGGGAGGTTGGAGGGCGCATAGGGAAACAGGGACTGCCCATGGCTTGACACATGCCTGCATCTGCTTCCTTCCTTCCTTCCTTCCTTCCTTCCTTCCTTCCTTCCTTCTTCCTTCCTCCTTCCTTCCTCTTTCTTTCTTTCTTTCTTTCTTTCTTTCTTTCTCTTTCTCTTTTTGGTACCAGGGATCAATCCTGAAACTTGTACATGTGACAAGTACTCTGTCACTGTGTCACAAGTTATGCCCCTAGTCCTTTCTTTTGGATTTTTTTAATTAAAACTTTTCCTTTGGCACACTTTTGGTATGGCACTAGCATGCCACAGTGAGAGTTGGATGGCTACAGGACAGCTCATGGGAATGGATTCTCTCTTTCTGCCATGTGGGTCTCAGGGATAGAACTCCAGTTGCCAGGCTTGGAAACTTGTGTTTTCACCTGTGAGTCATCTTACTAGCTTTCTACCTTTAAAATGTTTATTTAAAACAGGATATTTCACTGGGCATTGGTGGCATACCCCTTTAATCCCACACTTGGGAAGCAGAGGCAGGAGGATCTCTGTGAGTTCGAGACCAGCCTGGTCTATAGAGTGAGTTCCAGGACAGCCTCCAAAGCTACAGAGAAACCCTGTCTCGGGAAACAAAAACAAAAAAAAACAAAGAAACAAACAGGATATTTCTCTGTCACCTCAATTGATTTCAATCCTGAATTCCTCCTGCCCCAGCCTCCTGAGAGCTGGGATTAAGGTTGTGTGCCAGCATGCTGGGCTTCCTTTTTCTTTTACTTTGGTTATTATTGATCACCTACTGCATTCCAAGCACTAAGTGCCTCACACGAAGCTCCTTCCCAAATCTTTACATTGGCCTATGAGATAGGTACTATTATTATTATTTTAGACAGGGCCTCTCTACATAGCCCTGGCTGTCCTAGGACTGCCTATGTAGACCAGGCTGACTAAAAATTCAAGTCATCTGTCTGCCTCTGCCCCCTGAGTGCTGGGATTAAAGATGTGTGCCATCATGCCTGGCACCCATTTTACACCCATTTTATCACACCCATTTTACAGCTGGGGAAATGAGGTTCTATGAGACTAAGTCTAATCCAGGCTGTTCTGATGTCTGTCTTGATCCTTTATCTCTTTGCTCTACTGCTCAGTTTAGAGACAACAAGCTTGCTTGCTGCCTCTCCTCCAGTTGGAGTGGGGCTTGCTTTCAGTCTCTGGGAAGTTCAAGAACACCTTCTCGCCTTCAGGCCCCATCTTTCCACTGATTTTTCTGTGAGAGTTGAGAAAGACTACTTGTAAAAAGAACTTTCTGAAGCTGAGCTTCTGTAGGACATTGTGCTGTTGTTATTTTTAGTTCCTGGTCTTGTGCCAAGAAGTGGGGGCTTTTTTGGTTATAGGAAGCTCAGTGAATCACCAGGGTAAAGGTTGTGCCAAAAAAGGCCAATGTGACCTTGGGCCCTATTTACTGCAGCTGGGATGAGGTCGTTGTTCTGAGAGCTGGCTTCCTGGCTGTTGCTGGCACTTTGATGGGCTGGGCTACATTCACTGACCAGGGAGGGGAGGGCCCTGGAAACCTGGCTGTACTTGAGTTACAGGGCAAGGATTGCAAATTCCCATGCCACGGGCAGACAGAGGGTGCAAAGGACTTTCGTCCCCATCTGTAAAAGGGTGTAGCTACTACTGGTCCAGCTGTCAATTGTCATGGAGAGTGGAATGAAGGTCATTCAATATTCCTGGATTGTCTCATTTTTTCAAGAGCAGCTGATATTTCCAAAATCAGCCATCCAAACAAAACTTGTGTGCTGGATGGATCAGGGGCATGCATTGGCACTGGGCAAACCTGGCAGCAGGACTACATCTTGGGAAGCTTGTTCACAAGTTCATCATCATTAGCAAATAGTTTGGAAGCTAGGTGTGGTGGCACATGAGTGTAATCCCAGAACTCCAGGAGCCAGGCAGGAGGATAGCTATGAGAAGGCCTGTTTCAAGCACAAACAACCAAGTCCCTTTCCACTTGTCCAGGCCTTGTCTCCTAGCCTGTCAGCCTGGCCTGGCTTTCTTCCACACTCATCAGGTCCTGTTTTCTCAGACTGCATTTTCCCCTGGACTGCAAGTCAGGCCCTCCCTGGCTTCCCCTGCACCTGTCCTGGGTTCCTGCGGGACCCAGTGAGCCTGGTCAACTTTTTGGGGTGTTTCACTTCCCTGCTAAGTTTGTTTGCTTGTTGTTTTAAAAATTATTTTTAAGTGTGTGCATGCATGTGTGCACACATGTGTGTATACCGGTGTGTATGTGCATGTGAGTTCAGGTGCCCACGGAGACCAGAGGCATTGGATTCCCCTGAAGATGAGGTTGCAGGCAGTTGTGAGCCACTGACAGAGCTGAGTTCAGGTCCTCTGCAAGAGCAGAGTGTGCTCTCAGCCACTAGCCATCTCTCCAGGGTCTTTCTGTTTGTATTTTCAGACAGGGTCTCACTATGTAGTCCAGGCTAGCCTCAAAGTTGGGATAACAGGCATGTACTACTATGCCCAGGTGGCTTGCTTGTTTTTTTCATTCTTCATATGTAGTGTGTGTATGCATGTGGAGGACAAAGATTCATGTTGAGAATCATCACCTTTCCACCTTACTCATTGAGACAGGCTCTCTCAATCAAACCTAGAGTTTGCTGATGTGGCTATTCTTTCTGGACGATCACTCTGGGGATATTCCCTGTCTTTGCCTTTTGAGGTTGGAATTGCTGGTG